TCTAAACTATCTTCGCTTTGTCCATCGCGGGGAATCGAACCTTGGATTTTAACTTTTTAAGTCCGTAGATTTACCGCTGACCCACCAGGGGACTTTCACCGACAGCCACTTTCTTGTGAAAAATCACCAGAAAGCAACAACAAACAATCTTTATAAAACCTTGATTTCATTTAAAGATATAATGAATGAATTTTACAAAATGTAAGCAAAACTCAAATGAGTAAATCAAGCATCTTTGTGTACCACAGAACGACAACAAAATCTTTATAGTGTAATGGGTGACTAACGATGAATTCTTTTCATTACTGTTAAAAATGAAAAGGACAGAAACTGCCTAAGGTCCAGCAAAACCAACTTACCTTCAGTAGTACCTTCGTCATGGTTTAATTAAAATTGAAATCTAATTCACACATACATATATTTAGTGCAGCTAGACATACATTTCACAATGATTTTCCAGGGTTGTTCCTATTACGCGCAGTTCCATTTCTGATTTATATTACAAAATAACAAAAATACTTGGTTATGAATAAAAATGGAGGAAAAGATTTTAATATGTCTACTATATGTTTGAAACGAACAGAAATACGGTCAATTAACATTTTAAGATTAGTTATACGACGAAAGAACGGAAACTATATACATACGTATTCCAAAGTTACAGTGTGAATTTACTAGGAAAAACAACCATAGAGTACTACCTGCTAGTTTCTTGGGGTCTGGTCGAATCTCACGGTTGGGCATTGATAGCATAACAGTGGCACCCATCTGACTGTAGCCCGGAGTGCCAGGACCCGAAGGTCCAAGTAAGAGAGGGAGTCTCATCACTCCTTGAACATTGTTACTTGCGGCTGACCCATGCAAGATGTTGCCGTTTGCTGGGCAACTGGACAACAATTCAGTTTCAAAGATATACATGAACACAGACAGAAAATTACACACAGTAGCTCCAACTAACACGCTTTAGAATGCTGTACGTGTGCGACGAGGTCCCTTGTCTACTAAGTCTCGAGCGTAGCTACGTGTATCATGTGGCGCGTGCTGTATCAATGATAGCCAGCAACGTACACAACGCGGCCTGAAATGCTGTAAGTTCGTCACTTTCCGTTATGGAGTAGGTATGTATGAATTATACAGTTGGCGCTGCTGGTAAGTCGAAACGGTTGCACGTGATTTTAACAGATGAGCAATCACATTAAACCGAGTCTGTTTAAGGGGAGTAACTAACACTCACTGTTTCACTTACAACAGACAAGTTGAGAAGGTAAAAAAAAAACAAGAGCAAAAACACTCAGCCGACAAAAACTAAATTAGATCAACGACAAAAAACTTCAAATAGACTTTTGTTTTTAAGCCTTAAACTTAAGCTGCTATTATTTATATAAGATAGTACTGTAGACCTGCAAAATGTGATTATCTGGTATCTTTACATAACTAGAACTAAATGACGTAATTAGACAAATTATTACAAGATTACTTTGTGAACAAAAATTTATTTATTAATGGGTGTTATGTTTCGGCCTTAAGCCTACTTCAGACACAACTGAATGGAACAGGGATGAAGATAATAACAACACGCGGCTTTTCGTCTTTACAGGTAATAAATGACACTATACTTCAATATTCGAGGATAATTCACCCTTCTTGAGAGAGCACAATAAAAAGTTTGTTTGTTTTTAATTCCGCGCAAAGCTACACGAGGGCTATCTCCGATAGCCGTCCCTAATTTAGCAGTGTAAGACTAGAGAGAAGGCAGCTAGTCATCACCCACCCACCGCCAACTCTTGGGCTGCTCTTTTACTAACGAATTGACCGTCACATTATAACGCCCTCACGGCCGAAAGG